CCAGATGAATTGGGTTCGACGACTTATAGCTACGTCAATACGACGTCATTTCTGTAAACATGTTTTTTATTTCTAAAGAATAGAAAAGGCCCGTTTAAAATAACTCAGCGGTCGGTAGCCCATATTAGCATATCTTTATCCATTGAGAAATTTCAAAAAATGCCACATTTCAAGTGTCACTTTTTTAAAATGCCACATTTTCAAAATTTTTGCAAAAATGCCATTTTTTAAAAAAAAGTTCATTATATCATTTATGTTTGGGTTAACTGTGTTGTATTAATGATTAGTTTTGAGGGTTTTAGGAGTTTTAGGAGTCAAAATATTTTTAGGGATTATAATTTTATTATTTAGACCTTCAAAATCCATAATTAGTGGCATTTATGCAAATAAACACTCTTAAATGGTATTTTTGCAAATGTATATACCAAAATTGACATTTTTCCAATTGTCCCATAACAATTTGGAGATCACTTTGTAATTATTTTCATAAAAACACAAATCGAAAGAAAATTCATAAAATTTTGAAAATATAAGGAAAAAATTATATTAAATTTTAGACAAAAATTAAAAGGAGAAATTTTAAAAAATGCCACTTTCCAAGTGCCACTTTTCAAAAATATTATATTTCAAAATCTTTGCAAAAATACCACTTTTCAAAATTATTTTTCATTATATAATTTATGTTTGGGTTAACTATGTTGNATTAGAGTTTAGTTTTGAGTGTTTACGGAGTTTTAGGGGTCAAAACATTTTTTGGGTTTAGAATTTTAAGATATAGACTTTAGAAATTTATAATTAGTGGCATTTTGCAAATGGACACCTTTAAGTGATTTTTTTTTTAACAGAGGAAAAGCTGCTTTGAGAAAATTCAAAAAATGCCACTTTTCAGTTGCCACTTTACAAAAATACCATATTTTTGAAATCTTTACAAAAATGCTACTTTTTCAAAATTATTTTTTTTTATATTATTTATTTTTGGATTAATTATGTTCTATTAGGGTTTAGTTTTGAGTGTTTAAGGTGTTTTAGGTGTCAAAACATTTTTTAGGGTTTTGAATTTTAAGATATAGGCTTTATAAATCTATAGTTAGTGGCATTTTTGTTAATGGGCACTCCTAAATGACATTCTTGCAAATATACATACAAAAAATGACACTTTTGTAAGTGCCCAAAAGCTTTTCATTCATGTCATCCTGAAAATACAAACATTACATTGATAGCTTCTTTAGCAAGGCAATCTGCTCTTGCATTGAGTTTACGACTAATAGAAGAGAGAGAGACATTATCAAAGGCATGTGCCAACACCTTAATGTCCTCAATAATACCATAAAGTTCCAGATATGATGTATCTGAATTAATGGCTTTGATAAGTTGCGATCACTACAAGAAAACTGTAATTTAGCGTCGGAATTTTTTCGACGCTAATATAGCGTCGAAATTGTGTCAGTCTAAATATTCGACGCTAAGTAGGGTCGAAT